TATATATATATATATATATATATATATATATATATATATATATATATGTATATATATATATATATATGTGAATGTAGATAAATATAGTAATGGATATAAAAAGAAAAAGAAAATAAAAATAAAAAATAAAAACAAAAATAAAATAAATATATAAATACAAGTATGTTTTTCCTTTTGTCTCTTTTTTTTTTCTGTCTCCTTTCTCTCTGTCTTTGTCTACTCTTTCTTTGTCTTTCTTTGTTCATCTTTCTCGCTCTTTTCTCTCGCTCTCTGTCTATATATATATATATATATATATATATATATATAATATTTAATATATATTACATAATCTACATTATATAGTATATACGTTATAATGTATTGTATATTATATATTAGATATTCCATATTGTACATTCTACATAAAACATAAACCAAACAAACAAAAAAAAAAAATAAATAAATAAAAATAAATATTTTGTGTATAGAGCTGACCCGCTAGTATAAGAAAGAGAAGCAGCACGGCGCCGTCGCCGTTGTCTGCGAGAAGCTCAGCAACGTAGCCGTACAAAGACAACCCCACATCTCCCCCATCAAGACAACACAAGCCGCAGCGTAGCAGCAAGTCTGCGGTGAATCTGAGTAAATAAACAAAATAAATAAATAAATAAATATATAAAATAAATTAATTTATTTATTTATTTTTTTTTTTTAGTTTGGGGTTTTTTTATTTAATATTCATCGAAAAAATACAAAGACAAAACACCCCACAACCCCCCCATCAAGACAGCAGCAGCAGCAGCAGCACAGCAGCAAATATGCAGCTTGTCTTGAGTAAATAAAAAAAAAATAAAATTTATTTATTATATAAATTAATTTGTTTTATAAAGTTTTTTGTTTTATTCGTTTATCTAAAAAATAAAAAAAATAAATACAAAGACAAACCGCAGCAAGACAGCAGCACATGCTGCAGCGCAGCAGCAAATCTGTGTAAACAAAAAAAAATAAATAAATAAATTATATAAAGTAAATAAATAAATAAATTATATAAAATAAATAAATAAATAAATAAATAAATAAATAATATAAAATAAATAAATAAATTATATAAAATAAATAAATAAATTTATTTATTTTATTTGTTTTTAATTATTTTCTGAATATATAAAGACAACACAGAAATATAAAAAAATACAAAGAAGAGTAGCAACATAAACAAAATACTAATAAATAAAATAAAATAAAATATATAAAAAATCATACGATAAAACAATAACTCTAAACCCTAAACCCTAAACCCTAAACCCTAAACCGTAAACCCTAAACCCTTAAAACAACAAAAACGATATAAAAAAGAAAGAAAAACAAATAAAGCTAAAAATAAAATAAAATAAAATTGAATGAAAAGGTATAGAATAATAAAAGAACAAAAAATAATAAAATAATAAAACACTAAAATAAATAAAAAAGAAAAACAAATAAAACTAAA